TTGCAGCAGAAAGTCCCTTCACCTGTGCTTTGGGCCCGGCCTCTCTTTATGCCTCAGGGCCCTGGTTCTGTGGGTCCTTCCCGCTCTCTCCTGCACCTTCAATCACTACCTTTGGCATTACAAACATGTTCAAGTGTTTACCATCTTGAGAAGAATTCTCCTAGCAAGGCTATGGTTGGTGGTGCCTCCCTGTTGGCACGGTTAGAGGGACCAGGAAATTGACTTTGGAGCTTAGCCATCCCAGGGGCCTTTTCTCCTTGAATTGGCTATTTCTAGCTAAACGTGTCTTAAAAGCCCAGCTGCCACTAGATAATCATCTTTGGGGACTTCCACAGTCACCAACTACGGTCAAGTCCTGGCTTTTAAAACCCAGAAAAATTCAGGGGAAAGCTGCCTGGTGGGGCTGAACTAACTTCCCCCTTTTATATTCAAGCTACATGGTGGCTGGTTGCGCTTAAACAGGTACAAAAGTTTTACTTCTATTCATCTTTCCAAAGCCAGCCTGGCAGAGGCTGGGAAGGTATAGAGTCCAGCTGGGAAAGCATCTTACCCAGGTAGCTTTCCCCAAGTCTCCCCATAGTGGGTAGTCATTCTGTCTTCTCTGCTCAGTAGTGTTGTTTTCATCACGTTCTTTTCATGTGCCCACCTCTCCCAATTAGACTATGAGCTCTTTACAGGCAGGGTTTAATAATAACGTCTTATTTGTCTTGTCTTGCCAATACCTAGCACTCCATCACGAGCTGAGTTAAACTCAAATAGCATAAACAAACTAACAAATTATTGCTGTAGGCATAAAACAAAATGATAGACCTGATAATTACAAGTGGAATTCAACAACAGTACACACACACACACACACACACGCACGCACAGAAAGTGCTGGAGGAGGTCATCAAGAGGACGTGACCACCAGTTGACCTATGAGCGGGACCCTGGGGCTTGGAGGCTCCTCACCCCCTGCCCTGTCCTGGGAATATATTCCCACAGCTGGAGGTCGCAGCCTTTAGAGAGTAAGGTGTGGCCGAGACCATCTGGACAGTGTATGTGACTGAACCCAATTAAGGCATCTATGTAAACTTTTAACATTCTGGCAGGTGGGTGCAGAGATCTACTCCTTTTGGGTCCCCCCACAGACAAGCCTCGTATGTAAGTTCCCTTGCTTATTACACCGGCCACCTACCGATCAGGAGTGGCCTGCCTCTTTCTTTGGTCTCTCCTTGCCCTCCATGTATGGGGGCCAGTTTGCAAACCAACAGAAAGGTACAAGGCTATCTCCAAACCTTATTTTAAGGCATTTGAGATATATATATATATTTTAAAGAGTATGCCTGTGCGGCACCTGGGTGGCTCATTTGGTTGGGCATCCGACTCTTGGTTTCGGCTCAGGTCGTGATCTCGGGGTCCTGGGAACGAGCACCACATGGGGCTCCGTACTCAGTGGGGAGTCTGCTTCAGGATTCTTTCTCTCCCTCTCCCCCACTCCCCACTTGCTCTCCCTCTCAAATAAATAAATAAATCTTTAAAAAATTAAAATAAAATAAAAATAAAAAGAATATCCCTGTATACCTGTAATGTTTTTCAGTTAGATTAGAAATTCAGTGCCTATATGAATGGAAAAATTACATAAATACTAGCAGCTACATCCAATAAATGAAACGTCAACAAATGATAGCCTGAGTTTTTAAGAACATTATGTATCTGTCCCTTGCTGCACATTATTTTCAATTCCAAAGGCCCACCTCAAGTATCAGAGAGCCTCTGATTGGAGCCAAGGACACTAGAAGTAGTTCTCATCTGAAAATCCTCTTGCCAAATAGCATGTTCCAAATTTGACCCTGGAAATGGTGCCCGTAACCATCTCCAACGCCAATCGATAAAATTAAAAGATAGGTAAAACCTAGTTTTAAATTTTAAAACATGTAAACTGTACCTTTACAAATGACATCTAGGGAGAAGTAAGTTGTGTGATCAATGTAGTTAGCACCTTCCACTACAGACGAAATACTGCCAAATGAAACTCTAGCATAGGAGTCTGAGGGTCCATTGCCATGGCAACTATCACAGAGCGCATCCACCTGTGAGAAAAGGAAACCATTACAGCAAACCCATAACACAAGTTTAAAAAGCAGAAACATGCTCAAATCATTGTCGTTCCAGAAGTGGTTTAAACAACTATAGTAAACAATGCTGAATAGATTTCACCTGATGAACATATAGGCATGAGACGATAACAATAATGAATGAGCTTTATATATTTTATTACTTTATTTTTTAGAGCAGTTTAGGAATACGAGCTGAAGTTTCCCATACATTCCTTCCCTCTATCCTTAGTTTGCCCTATTACTAGCACCTTGCATTTGTTGGACTGGTATATCTGTTCAAGTGATGAACCAATATTGATACAGTATCTTTAACTAAAATCCATAGTTTAAATGAAGGTTCACTTTTTGTGTTTTTCTGTCATATATAGTTTTTTAAGATTTTATTTATTTTGGGGCACCTGGGTGGCTCAGTGGGTTAAGCGGCTGCCTTCGGCTCAGGTCATGATCCTGGAGTCC